GCTTTTAGTGTCAATTTTAAGTATAAAAATAACAGTTTTTCAACTGTTATCAGTCTGCTGAACGGTGTTGGAATGCGTTGAGTTGGAAAGGAAGCACAATGCTAATTCCATTTGAAAAGAAGTACGCAATCGGTGATGAGATTTTGGAGAGAAGCAGACAGCTCAACTTTGCTTGTCATGCTGATTCATGGAAGAGGAGAGAATAGGTGCTTGTCACGTCTAGCATCATTAGGAGGAGAATTCATTTGTTTAATTTGTTTTTAAAGAATGGAATGCGCTGATTTCAATTTGAAGCAGAGGAGGCACATTGGATGTTGCTTTCTTTTAAAAAGCATTACGGTGATTAGGTGCTGGAAGAGTGTCCCGTGAGGTGATTGCTTGGCATGGAGAAAGGCATAGCCTCGGGATGGACGTCCAGGAGAAGTACATGTGGGATGTTCATTTTCTTTTAGAAGGAGCTCATTTAATTAGTTGAATATGTCAAGGCCTCGGATGGAAAGACGGTGCAACACGAATTTTATTTTACAGCAGCTTATTCACTTATTTAAGTTAACTGTTCAAACGCATTTTCTTGGTGTCATGTCCCTGCTGAACCTGCTCATCAACAATCACTGCATAGATCCAGTTGTGGAAGACATTTCCCTGAACTTATTCTCTTATTTAAGTTAACTGTTAAAGTGTTTTTCTTGTGTCATTTCTGTGATGAATTGCTTTTGATGTTTGGGTTACTCATTGCATTAAATTGGATTCACACACTTTGATATTTCGTTTTATTCCAACTGCACAGCGTTTTAAATGTTCCAGTTGAATGATTTCATGAACTTTAATGCTTTCAATTATATTCGGTTGTGTTTAATTTTCATTTTTTTAGTTCAATTGCATTCACAAACCTTTCACAACCCCCCCCCATGAAGTGTTCGACCTATTACCTGAACCACATTTGGTCCTTGAGAGACGACCTAGGAGTCACTTCCTAGTTTATACTGCATTCTTATTTGCACAAAAAATTTGATGGGCCGCGACAGTCGCATCAAATTTTGGCGCTGTTGCCGGGGACCAACGGTTTGGTTTTAGGTCTTTTGTTGTGTTAGTGTGTTGTGTGTGTGTGTTAGTATATGTTTTGTCTTGTATGTTTGAGTATGTGTGTTTTGTTTGCTTAGATTGTTTTGTGTGTTTGAAATTTTTGTGCTACCGTTTCATGGTTGTAGGGTGTTGTGACTTAGTGCATGACTAGGGGAAATCCTGGACCCATACCATCCTTTGATCCTGAGATTGATAGGACTTTTCATAGGTTAGTTAGGCATTCTAGGAATTTATCTTTAGAGTCTGTTTTTGAGTCAGTTCCATTAGATACTATGCATCCTACTGAATCTGAATCTACTGCTCAACACTTTATGCATACTGCATCTACTGCATCTGTTGCATCTACACCTTATTCTGATTCTGATTCTGATTCTGTTATTTTTCACACTGAGAACAATATGGCACAACCTCCAACTCGCGAGAGGAATTTTTCGGAGATGGCTGCACCTGATTTCACTTATGAAAGCTTGTGCATCCAATATCCTGATGAGGACGTACCATTTGTTCTCAAGACTGGACTAATCCATTTGCCACCCAGTTTTCATCATCTGCTGATAAGAAATTGGAAAGCAAGCTTGATTCCCTTGCGAATTTGGTGGCACAGATGACTTCAAATAAGAGATCAGCATCTCCATTTGCATCTGTTGCACGACTGTGTGGTATATGTCTTTCCAGTGATCACCATACAGATGATTGCCCTGCTTTGCAGCAACATATTGGCCATGATGCACCTCCAGCCTATGCTACAAACATACAAACCAACAGGCAACCACAACAGCAAAATTATGACTTGTCCAGCAACAGATATAACCCAGGGTGGAAGAATCACCCAAATCTTAGATGGTCCAATAATTCACAACAACAACAACAGCCACAACAGCAACCACCACATTTCCAGAATGTTGTAGGTAATAAACCATATGTACCTCCACATGTTTAGAGATATTAGAGGCAACAACAGTAAGAGATTCCTGCCCAGCCAGCTCCCCAACCTCTCATTTCTTCTTCTGAGCATTCATTAGAGGAGATGTTGAGACAGATGACTGCTTAGAATATGTAGTTTCTACAGGAAACCAAAGCTTAGAATATGCAGTTTCAGTAAGAAACTAGAGCTTCTATTCAAAATCTTACTAATCAGATAGGTCAAATGGTAACACAGCTCAACCAAGCACAGTCACAAAATTCTGATAAGTTACCATCCCAGACTATGCAAAATCTGAGGAATGTGAGTGCCATTACCCTCATATCGGGGAAGCAAATTGTTATGCCCACAGAGCCAACTCCTACACCTACTCCCACACCTGCTACTTTTCTCAGAAAAGAGGACCAGATTGGTCCAAGTAGGACATTTGAAGCAGGTGGACCTTCTTCCTCTTCCGGTGGTTGTACTTCTTCTCCAGGTGGACCTTCTTCTTATTCCACCACTACCACCAGTGCATCTCCTACATTACCTCAGTGACCTATCCCTCTTCCCTTTCCTCCAAAGGCAATGCCTAGCAAAAAGATGGAAGAGGTGGACAAGGAAATATTGGAAACCTTCAGGAAGGTAGAGGTAAACATACCTCTACTTGATGCAATCAAACAGATTCCAAAGTATGCAAAATTCTTGAAGGAGTTGTGCACACATAAGAGGAAAATGAAAGGCGATGAAAGGATCAACATGGGTAGGAATGTATCCCCACTTATTGGTAAGTCGGTCCCGCACATTCCTGAAAAGTGCAAGGACCCAGGTACGTTTTGCATTCCTTGTATGATTGGAAATAGTAAATTTGAAAATGCCATGCTTGATTTGGGTGCTTCTATTAATGTCATGCCTTTTTCTATTTTTAAATTTTTGTCTCTTTGTCCTTTTCAACCTACGTGTTTGGTCATTCAGTTGGCCAACAGGAGTGTTACCCACCCAACAGGTTACATAGAGGATGTTTTGGTTATGGTTGGTGATCTTATTTTTCCTGCCGACTTTTATGTTTTGGAAATGGAGGAGGGATTCTCTCATGGATCCGCTCCCATCATCTTAGGCAGGCCTTTTTCGAAAAGTGCCCGAACCAAGATTGATGTGTATGCTAAAACTTTATCCATGGAATTTGCTGATATTGTGGTTCACTTTAATATTCTTAATGAAATGAAGTTCCCAGCTGAGGACCATTCTGTTTTTAAGATTGACATGTTGGATGACATTATTGATAAATATGTGTTTGATGAGTTTGATTCTTTGCATAAGAAAGAGCATTCTTTTTTATCTTCTCTACATACATGCATTGAATCTGAATTTGAGAATGATGTTGATTTTGATGAGGATTTTGATATCCATGATGTTGATGATGTAACTGTCATGGATATTGATTTGGAGTCTGATGAGATGGGTGTTCTGCCCTCACACGTAAATTCTTTAGAGTCAAAATGCACTAACTACTTTGGAGGAAGTAAAAATGAATCTGACTTGTAGACACCTACTCTTGGGTTGAAACAACTCCCAGATAACCTCAAGTATGCTTACTTGGAGGATGATGAGAAGAAACCTGTGATCATTTCCACCTCCCTTGATGTTGTTCAAGAGGAGAAGTTGCTGAGAAAGCACAAGAGGGCCATTGGTTGGACATTAGCTGGCATACTTGGCATCAGCCCATCTACTTGTATGCACATAATTCTTTTAGAAGAGGGAGCAAAGCCGGTTAGGCAGCCACAATGAAGGCTAAACCCCGTGATTATGGATGTCATCAAGAAGGAGATGACTAAGCTTCTGCAAGCTGGGATCATCTACCCCATATCAGATAGTCAATGGGTAAGCCCGATCCATGTTGTGCCCAAGAAGACTGGCCTTACTGTCATAAAGAATGAAAAGGATGAATTGATTCCTACTAGAGTGCAGAACAGTTGGAGAGTCTGCATTGATTACACGAGGCTCAATCAGGCAACCAGGAAAGATCACTTCCCCCTGTCATTCATTAATCAGATGCTGGAGCGCCTGGCAGGTAAATCTCATTATTGCTTTCTTGATGGGTTTTTTGGCTATTTTCAAATCAATATTGCTCCTGAGGACCAAGAGAAAACCGTGTTCACCTGCCCCTTTGGCACTTTTGCCTATAGGAGGATGCCATTTGGCCTTTGCAATGCCCCTGGTAGCTTCCAGCAGTGCATGCTTAGCATTTTTAGCAATTTTCTTGAAAGTTGCATAGAGGTGTTCATGGATGATTTTACTGTATATGGATCCTCATTTGATACATGCTTAGACAGTTTGAAAAAGGTTTTGAAAAGATGTATTGATACTAACCTTGTTCTAAATTTTTAGAAATGTCATTTTATGGTAGAACAAGGTTTGGTTCTAGGGCATATCATTTCTAGCAAGGGAATAGAGGTAGATCCTGCAAAAATATATGTGATTTCGCAATTGTCTTACCCCTCTTGCGTGCGATAGGTTCGATCTTTTCTTGGGCATGCAGGTTTCTATAGGCGCTTCATCAAGGATTTCAGCAAGAAAGCGCTTCCCTTGTCTAAACTGTTGTAGAAAGACATTGAGTTTGACTTTGATGATAGATGCAAACAGGCTTTTGATCGCCTGAAGGAGCTTTGACCACCACTTCGATCATTCAGGCACCAGATTGGACAACCCCTTTTGAGCTTATGTGTGATGCATCGAAGTATGCATTGGGGGCTGTCTTGACACAAAAAATTTACAAGTTGCCGCGAGTGATCTACTACGCTTCCAGGACTTTAGATGCTGCCCAGGCAAACTACACCACCACTGAGAAAGAGTTGTTATCAATTGTTTTTGCTCTTGATAAATTTAGATCATATTTGCTTGGTTCACCTATTATTGTATTCACTGACAATGCAGCTCCGAAGTTTCATTTAAAAAGGCTGAGTCAAAGCCAAGATTGATAAGGTCGATGCTCCTACTCCAAGAATTTGACCTGCAAATCCAAGACCGGAGTGGAGCACAAAATTTGGTTGCAGACCACCTCAGCAGGATTGAGAGGGCTGAGGATGAAGCCGATGTTTTGCCTATCCAGGATAACTTTCCTGATGA